TCCCTAGGGAGAAAAAAGGGCGAGCCAGTTAACTGTCAGATTATTTTAACTGCTGCCTTTTAGCTCTCTTCACCACAAGAGACGACCCAGTCAACTGACCTGGTACATTGGAAAGGTGAGAAAAGATTCAATGGATCGTCCGTCACACTGCGGTTTCTCCTCCCATCGTTTGAGAACGCGTGTGAATTCCTCCTTTTGTTTGTACTCGGCTAGCACCTGCAGAGAGTAATGATGGTTGCGGACGTACTCCTGGTAGATACCCAGCATTGGCAGCAGCATGTCGAAGAGGTCACCTGCAGACGTGGGAAGAAAATGGGCACACTGTTCACAGTGGACTTGTCAACAACTGCTGATTGTGGCCAATGTGGTAACTGTGAGGTAAATGGCACTTAGTTAAGCAGAAGAACTGAAATGCCCATTTGGGGCTTACTAGCCGTCATCAGCCAGTCATACTCAATCCCAAGTAGTGCCCCACCTGAGGCTCAAGCCCGAAACCAGTTGGCTAGAACTCCAAAACTCTAATAATCATCGAGCACCGGGTTCGCTGTCCAGCCAGTTTAGATCGATAACATTCAAATAAATGTATGAATGCTAGCCGATCCGCTAAGAGGCTCAATCGTCCCGGTTTGCTTCTAGGCTCACTCTGGAGCTCCGCCAGTAGGCGCACAGCAACCACTAGTCTAGGTAGATTAACACTGTGCGCAAAGGCAAAGGAAACTGGAAGGTGGCCACTTATGGCTCTTAAGCCGTCACCAGCCAGTCATACCCAACCCCGAGTGGTGCAAGTGGTGTGTCTTGAACTCGCGGCCTGTTGGTTAGAAGTCTGACGGTCTAACCATTGAGCCACAGACTCGTGGCATCTTGACGGTTTAGACTGGGAGATATTCGCGGTCGTCGATGAACGTGCAAATAACTTTGCCTTACTGCCAAATCCGCCAGACTTGACCACTGCAGTCGCAGCCCCTTTGTAGAGCTGTACCGGCTCAAACCTGACACTTATGCCTGACTTGAGCATATGTTATAACTGATCGTGCGCCTAAATGACAACTATTCACAGGTGTGCACGAATTCAAAAACTAATCCAATTAACTCGCGAGGTTAGCGCTGACTAGCTGACACTTAAATCACACATATTGACTTAGACTGACAGAACCGAATGCGCGCCGAGGGTTATGACAACCACCGAGCTTCCGACAGTGATCAATCTCACAAAATATTAACCGAAATGCTAAAGTGTATTTTCTGGTACCAAGGACAGCGTAAGTATAGTTAAGGTATCTTTGAGCATAATGTCACAATATTTCAGACACATAAGACTACGGGCTTTAGATTGCATGCCTGCATAGAGCGTAGTT